ATTTATTTTCCCCCCAAAGCCCCAGTAGATAGTTGTATGTCACAGGTGCACATCCTTCTAGTTGCTGTATGTGGGACGCGGCCTCAGCACGGCCGGAGAAGCGGTGCGCCGGTGCACGCCCGGGATCCGAACCCGGCCCGCCAGCAGCAGAGCGCGCGCACTTAACCGCTAAGCCACGGGGCCGGCCCTCATTTTTCTCTTTATGTTAAAAATATTTAAAACTTTAAAACTTAAACTTGCATATCTGAATTCTTAAAGATTGACAAAATGGGCATTATAAGCTTTGAACTGTTTTTCAAATACGGTGAAGGGTTTTTTACTGACTCTTGACTAGTCCTTACATAATCTTGCCTGGTCTACTTTGTTACCAAGCAGTATGAATGGGCAAGTTAGGATCTAATGTATGGCCATAAACAAAGCGAAGGTGGCTGATCCTCTTGGAGTCTTCTTACAGACTTACAGAAAACACCCAAAAGGTTTAGTGTTCTCAGAAACCCAGTATAAATGAGACAGCACACCCATAATAAAATATTTAAAAGATTAAAAAGTTTGGATTAAGGTCAGTTGAGATCTGTTCATATCATTTATTCCACAGGCATTTAACAAGTACCTCATATATGCCTAGAGGCCTCCTGAAAACTCAACAGTTTAGTATAAGAACCAGACATATACAACAGTAGCTATTTTATAGTGGGGTACAAGTGCTGGAATAGAGGTGTAGTTTTGAGGCACATGGGAACACAATCCTCTCATCTTTCTTCATTTCAGATATTTCCACCCCCTAAACAAAATCTGTCTAAATTCCAAAACTACCACCAAAATGAAGTTTCCATGGAAAAGATATAGGATCTAGAAGTAATGGAAATAGGGTATGGTGTATATGTTACTTCTATTCTTCCATTATTGGATGCAAAGCACTTCACTTGCTAAATCCCTAAAGACTGAACACAAAATCTATTTTATCATTAATGGCTATGAACTGGGAATATGCATCTTTATTTGTTGAGGTTTGAAGAGATCTAATACATGGCACCCCTCCTTCCCATCTGGGTTGTGAACCTAATTGAAATGAAGAACAAATGAACTACTATAGAGGCCTAAATAGTACCTTTATTTACTGATAAAACTGATATTGGAGAATATGGTTTATATCTTCATTCCAGTAAGTTTCCTATCACTGAAACCTAGAATTGGACAGACTAACTCACTCTGTCCCAAGCATCACTGTACTGGCAGGCCTCACCCTAGAGGCTGAGCCTGATCCCACAAAAGGAGAACAGAATGAATGCTCTCTGTAGACAGGCTGGTCTCAAACAGGAGTAGGGAGGAAGTGGCTGGGCTACTTGGGCCTTGTTTCTCCTTTCATTTCACTTGGGGCAGGGTGGATGAGGGGAGGAAGAGTGATGACAATAATGTTATGCTACTAGAGCTTCCTTCACATGGAGGAAAGAAGTATTCCCTCTCAACATTTTAGCATATTTTAAATTGTAACAAACCAACAATTACTTATTTGTTTACTCTCTGTCTTCACTGAGATCGTAAGTTCTATGAGAACAACCATGTTCACCTCTGCGCACATGGGGACAAGCATGTTTTCTGGCATGTAGCACACATTCTTATTTACTGAGTAAACAAATGCACTATAGAGTTTGTTACAATGGAAACTTTTGGTTCTTATTTAATAATCCAATAAAAATTTATAATGTGCCAAGAATTTTCTTAGGCAAGAGGATTCTGAGATAGAAATGAAGTAGAATGTAACAACATAATATTAAACTAGAGAGAGTTTTGTTTTGAAAACAACTCAGCATTTAGATGTTTGAAGAAAATTTAGTTGGAAAGCCTCTGATACTCACTCACTGGACCATATGGGCCAGTCTTTTGACTGCTCTTTACTTCAGATTCCCTATTTATGACTAAATAAATGACAGGGTTATTTTGAATAACTAATGGATTATCAAACTTTTAAAGCTATTGCCAAGGCATTAAGAAACCTTTTGAAATGTTTAGCACTTCCTGGCCTTGGCTTCTTGATCTGGATAAAACTAAAGGTCTGAGATGAAAATGATATTTTGTACTTTCCTTGAAATGACCTGTATACTACTAACAGATACTATTATATATGAAAAAAAATATAGTAGACCCAATAACAACAAAAGTATGAATTTCCCCATAATTTTCTTGAGAGTAGGGGTTATATATCAATAGACATTTGTGGAATTGAAGTAAATCATAAAAAAAGCTTTATCAAATAAATTTAAGATGGGTTCCTAAGAAGCAGGGATAAACTGGTTTTTGTGAATCATAAAATTTTAAAATATATGTAATAATCAGAGCTCCAGATTTAGCAACTCTACAGATTTCATAGTGTCATACACTTGCACTAGGGCACACATTATTTTAAAATTTATTGTTTTAGTTCCTTACAAAAAAAATCAATCTCCAGCTATATGGTAAGTCACTTATTTAAAATCCAGACAACTTTATTATAATATTTTATTTTATATGAAAAGGTAATTGTGCAGGAGTTATCTGGGAAGATACATACAGTAACAAGTGTGTAGGCTTTGAAATGGTTTTCAAATTTGTTGCAGATACCAAAGAAATCCTATATGATTTACGTAATTGTTAAAGCAAACACAAGAAAACTCTGGTTCAGCTTCTATGAACTATCAAAAGGATAAAGACAAAAGGCTCTTCTATCTCAAATTAATACGTTTGGAATGGAGCTTTTCAACATAATAAAGACACATATGGAAAACAAAGACAGAGCCTGCGTGTAGTGGTTAAGTGGTTAAGTTCGTGCACTCAGCTTCAGTGGCCTGGGGTTCGCAGGTTTGGATCAAGCCATGCTGTGGCAGCATCCCATATAAAGTGGAGGAAGGTGGGCACAGATGTTAGCCCAGGGCCAATCTTCCTCAGCAAAAAGGAGGATTGGCAACGGATGTTAGCTCCGGGCTGATCTTCCTCCAAAACAAAACAAAGACAAAATACATCTTCCCATTCTAAAAGATTTCTTTTTAGTCCATATGTACTTTGAATAATGTTTTTGTATTAAGTTTCTACTGCAACTTTCAACGTTCAAAGTCAATCTCTCCTGGCGTGGCGTTCTAAGGAGTCAACAGCAGCAGGAAGAGCACAACATAGCCGTGTCACTCCTTTTTCCAGAGTCTATAAAATCCCAGCGCTATCGCTAGGCAAGTAAACACTGAGGCTGTGAAAAGAAGAAACCATGTTACAGATCATGCATTTGTGATTATTTTACAGAGACAAACAGAATAACATCATCTGCAGTTTAAATGAAGAGCAAAAAACAAATGAAATCCTACCAATTTTCTATCTTACGTTTTTCATTCCCTAGAAAATTAAGCTAAAGAGGGCAGGATTAATACCAATTCTTCTTAAAAGCTTCCTGTATTTTAAACCAGAATAAGGATGACAGTAATTTTAAAATGTAGATTATAAGTCAGAATCTATAAACTTTTTAAAAGTCATTATTAACATTAGTATTATTAACTACTTTAAATAATTATGAACTCTAATGTCAGATCTTATAAGTGAAAAACTATCTTACCTATATTAAAAGACACATATCATTCATAAGAAAATTTTAATTGCCTTTTCAGTAAATTTAAAAATAATTTTTCTCATAACTATTAAAAATTTATAAATAAAAAATGAAATTTTAATGAAAATCCCTAAAAAAAATCAATGAGGTAGAAGAAAAGGCAGAAAAAGCATCAGGCTTTTTAAACAGTAAATATACCACCTGCTCTTTGTTACATCATTCTGGACAGAAAACCTTCTATTCTACAGAAGCTGAATCTTTTAGGGACTCCCTAGTTTCTAGTTTGTGTAAACAGCCACAACTTTTAAAATACAGAGTCTGAGACAAAGGGCAAAGTTCTATGACTAAAGACACAAGAAATAGCCTCTCATAGTAAAGCTATCCTAATTTTAATGTATGAATTTAATTATACATTACCCCATTTCATCCCATTACTTACTGAAACTTTGTTAATGACAAGATCATTTCCTTAATTTTAAGAAATGGGATTAGGTGTTTCTAAGACACATAGGGAAGCTGGACATTTGAGGAGAAAGAATAACACTTCAAGTTTCTTGCCTTGTTGCCACTGGTCTATTATACATTCTCCCATTTGATCCTATACTGTTTTCCATGTTCCAGGCAGCGTGCTGAGCAATTACATACGTTACTTTATTTAACCACAATTAAAACCCTATGAGGTTAGTAATATTATTCCTATTGTATAAACAAGGCAACAAACCCAAAGTTATAATGCTAGCAAATGGTGGAACCAGGACTCAACACTATGTGGACCTGACTCCAAAGTTGTTGTTTTTAAAAAAACATTCTGTTATCCTTATTTATCCCTTGTGACTGAAGGACTCAATCTAATTTGTCATTTTTTGAGCCATATAGTGCTAGCTAAGTGGTTATAGTCTTTGCTAACCCAAATAGCTGATAAATTAAGTCAGACTAACAAATGAACACTTATTTATTGTGAGGAAGGAGGTATTTCATTCCTTTATTAGAATAAACAACACAATGGTTACTGCATTTAAGTTTCTCTCTCATTTCTGTTGTCAGCTGTTATTTCTCATTGCTGTCACTGTGCTATCCCAAATTGCTTTCAAATCTGTTGTTTATCTTCTATGGCCTGTCTAGGACACATCTACGTTTATGTAAACTGCTCATGTGAGCATGTGCCTGGTACAGCTTAAGTATTCTGTAAGTGGTTTATTATTACTTGTCTGCCCAGAACAGAATCTCCTACATTTTACTATATAAAGTAAATGGAAACTGCCATTATCTTTACAGCTCTTCCCTCCTGGGCAACAGTGATCCGGGTTAAAAGGGTGATATTTGACCCAAGATGGGCCCTTCAGACTTCTTCCCTGGTATTTTCTGAATTGGAACTAAGGAAAGGGGTGAAACTGGAATGATATGAGTCTGGGAGCTACTGGTGGCCATGTTTCCAATCCATGGAGGAAGCTGGTATAAGAAAATGAGGCAGATATTCAGAGACAGGATATGGAGTAAGTTGTGATTCCAGTTATCCCTGGGGTCAAGCTATACCTCTGTCCTTTCGTAATTCAGTATGTAAGCCAATAAATTCCCTTTTATGCCTAAGCTAGTTCAAGTTGGATGTATGATACTTGAAACTAAAAGAGCCTTGACTGATACATGCTAGGAAACCAAATAACCAAAATGATTAAGATTTACAATTTTATAAGGATTTCTTCTCTAAGGGAAATGCAAGATATTTAATGCTGGGGCTTTATTAGTATTTTCTACTTTTTTTCCTGTGCTCATGATTGAATTCAATATGTGAATCTCAGGTAAGTGGAGTATTATTGTCTCACTGGCAACATCTCAGGTATTCTACGACCCAATGGATCCACTCCTGACATTAACTTCCCATCTACTGAGAGTGTGGGATTCGGATTTCCTAGAAGGCTTACCAGTAATAGCAGCAGTAAGCATATGTTTAGAGAAGGATAAGGAAGGAGAAAAAAATGCCTTCAGAACTGTTGGTTGCAAATCCTCAGTGAAAAAAAGGAAAGGAAGATATCTTAGGAAAGGTATTTTTCTAAACAATGACTTGCTGATTTCTTTTGCCACTGCCATTAAGTCTATTAGAGTGAGTCAGCCTTGTATATATCCACTTCTGAATGAAAGCTTCACCATCTTCAAACTGAGGGTAAAAAGGATTGTATTTTTAACTAAGATATTGATTCTTCAGGTAAATACTCGAGAGGAAGCTGAGTGGAATTTGAGATCTATTTTTAAAGTGGGAATGAACACTCCAAACTGGACTGTTTCAAAATTTCCCCTGAGAGTTACCATTGAACTGAAGATCTCTAGTTCCAGAGACTTTGCTAGAATAGGGGTTTTCCAAAACTTCTTTTAGCCTTAGAACCCTTTCTGCAAGTAAATCTTCAGCAGAAGCCCAATATTTTAAAAAGACGAAGCTGAGCCATTCAAGGTGAAGACAGGAAGTGGGTATGCATCAGCTGAGGGATGGGGGTTCCATCTTCACTCCTCCTGCCATCTCAACATAATTAGTAGCTGCCCAGAAAACCACCGGTGGTATAAATCAGCGCTTTTATTTTGGACGACAATTTAGATGTGCATAGCAATTTATTATACAGAAATACTAGCTCAAGGGCACAAAGATATGTTTATGTGTGTGTTTACTCAAACACAAACATATATATGGCTGTTTGGTGCAATATTGTTTTTAATAATGAAAAATTGGAAGCAAATGTCTGTTAGAGGTTTGGATAAATTATGGCATTTTCATACAAGGGAATACTATGCTTTCTAGTAAAAAGATGTCTATATATGTATTGATGTGGAAAGATATTTAAGACATTTGGTTAAACTGCAAAAAGTTATAGTCTGTACAGTATGATGTAGTTATTATTTTAAAAATCTGTAATGTTTACATACAGAAGAAAAAGCCTAGAAAGATATACACTACTAATAGTAAATACATATGGGTACAGAGTGGAAGCTTTTCACTTTTACTATATTGCTTTTGAATTATATGAAAAATTTATAATGAAAATATATTACTTTTTATAAAAAGAAAGAAAAAAGAAAAGTACTACTTGACTAGGGCATTCTTCTGACTCCTTGGGGCCCTGGAATTGGGTCAGGTCACATGGTACTTGAGGAGCTCAGGATGTGACAAATAATCTAATTTTGGTCTAGTATCTGTGCTCAGTCAGTTGGATTCAAGGTAGGAGGTAATTTTTTCCCCCTTTGCTTGCTATGATTTATAATGACCTATGTCTATTTTAGTTACCTTTCTCTGTAAGTCTACTCAAGTCCTTATGGAAAAGCATAGCAATAAAAATTAAATTTTCATTTTTTTCATTGTAGAATACCCAGTTTATCTTTGCATCATTTTGTACTTATGTTTATATATTTCTTTGGGATCCGTATGCTTTTTCCTATTAGTAAATTGTAGAGTTGCCTGTTAAACTTACATCCTAAACTTACTGCTTATTAAACTTACATTCTTTAGGCACTGCAGAGGACCAAGCAATAAAGGAAAACTGTTATAGCTCCTCTGTTTTTGCTTCTGTGCTGGCCATGGTTACCTTGGGAGGTAGTAGCTAACAGGTCTGAAAATCAAATGACAGTAATTCCTTTTCTGACAAACACAGCCTTACCTGCCAGATAACGAATTGTCTCAAGCTTGTTAGACTCCATCAGAGTTTTTAAAGAAGCAATTTCAGTGTCAATTTTATTACTGGTTTCTGAAATAATACTGTTGGTTTTGGTATCCTGTAGTAAATAAGAATAAATCAGACAATTAAATTTTGTTTCTATGTATTATGGACAAAAATATTTACATTAAAAAAACCCTCACTTATGGGCTAATTATTTATTACAAAAGTCTTAAGTGAGGAAACACAGAAAAGCCCCATGATATAAAAAATTAACATTACATGAACATGACAAACTGAGAAAAAATATTTCTTCTACTTTGATATTTGGAGACCATTTCTTAGGATTATCACATTCTGAGCACTGTCTACTAAGACCTCATAATAAGATATTTGAGACCTAAATATATAAAAGGATAAACTAAGAAGAAAAAATTTTATCACAGAGCTATGACTTCATGTGTATAAAGTCCTTAGGATATCACAGTTAAAATTTTAAATACATTTTGCAAAAGAAAAAACCCACCAGGCTTATAATATAAACTGGCACCATTGTTAAAGGAAACAGCAGGGCCGGCCCCGTGGCTTAGCAGTTAAGTGCACGTGCTCCGCTACTGGCAGCCTGGGTTGGGGATCCCGGGCGCGCACCAATGCACCGCTTCTCCGGCCATGCTGAGGCCACGTCCCACATACAGCAACTAGAAGGATCTGCAACTATGACATACAGCTATCTACCGGGGCTTTGGGGAAAAAAAAAGGAGGAGGATTGGCAATAGATGTTAGTTCAGAGCCGGTCTTCCTCAGCAAAAAGAGGAGGATTAGCACGGATGTTAGCTCAGGGCTGATCTTCCTCACACACACACACACAAAAAGGAAACAGCAGAAATGCTTGTTGGGTAACACTAAATGCTATGTATATAGGGGCTAAGGGGTAAGAAGAGAGGGAGAGAAGATGATACTTAGAGCTCAGAAATTAGCTGTGAGAGAATTTGTTGATTTCCTTGCTTATCTCCTTTATCTGGCCAGAAGTAAGAGAAGAGAATAGGATGTTTGGAAGGACAAATGAGACCTTCTCTTCTATTAAATTATAAGAAAGAAAGAGTAATGTCTCTTCTGTTAGAATGTAGACCAAATGCCTTTTACTTTAAAGAAAAGGACTAGGCTGAGTCAGAAAGCTGGGTTTTACTCAAGCCATAGAGACTATGATTACAATTGAGGATTACTGACAAGGTAAACAGCAGTTATGAGTATATGAGTATGGGGTTTAGAATCCAGTTTCATATCTTGGCTCTACCACTTATTAGCTCTGTGACCTTAACCTCCCTGTGCCTCATTTTCCAAACTGGTAAAACGGGAATAAGAGCGTCTACCTCACGGAGGCTGATATGAGGATTAAAGAAATTAATAGACAGAAGTAAAGCAAGTAAAACAATATCTAACATATAACAAACACTCAATAAATATTTATTATTTTTTAAAATTTTAAGATAATTATTTAATTCAACCTAGGCACGCAATTAAATACTAATTGTGAATGCTGTCTTTTAAAAAATGGTTCTTTTCTATGTAAAAGTAATTTAGTTAAAAATAAAAGTATGCTACCTGGAAAGCTTGATTCTGGCTCAGAGGTTACAGCTCAGACTACCATCCACCTGGTGGCAACTTCCCCCAAAGTGCTGGTTAACTATAGTAGCTATGAGATAATCATGGATTCTATAGGGCTAGCTTTTTAAAGTCCAAACTTATAAAATGATACACACAAAAGCAGTTACAAAGGCTCTCTGAGAGCTGTACAAAAGAGAAATTTTTACATAGTAGCTTACCTTTTTGGTAAATTCTGTGGTTGTTTCCATAAGTTTCTTTTCTTGATCTGTAAACTAAAGGATGTGACGTATCAGGAGGTTAAAAAAAAGACTAAAAGGAATAAACAACCAAGAAAGTACATTTAAAAGCACATTACGGGCTGGCCCCATGGCTTAGTGGTTAAGTGCGCACGCTCCGCTACTGGCGGCCTGGGGTTCGGATCCCGGGAGTGCACTGACGCACCGCATCTCTGGCCATGCTGAGGCCACGTCCCACATACAGCAACTAGAAGGATGTGCAACTATGACATACAACTATCTACCAGGGCTTTGGGGTAAAAAAAAAAGGAGGAGGATTGGCAATAGATGTTAGCTCAGAGCCGGTCTTCCTCAGCAAAAAAAAGAGGAGGATTAGCATGGATGTTAGCTCAGGGCTGATCTTCCTCACACACCAAAAAAACAAACAAAAAAAAGCACATTACCATATCTGTTACTCTGCTCCTTTCTAGGTTGATGTCCAGTTTATTATCTGCTCTGATTCGACTGGTTTCATTCTTTAAAGAAAACAAAAATATTAAAGTGATCTTGTAATGAATATTTGTTCTGAAATTAATAAAATATTCTGAAGTGGAAAAAAAAGTTTCACTTACTATCAGTTGTTGCTTAACTTGTTCTAATTCAATTTTCATTTTCTAGGTATAAAAAAGATCACATGCAATTGACATTAAACCAAAAGCCCATATTATGGTTTATTCAAAAAATCTGAAACTCTGGATTAGCAAAAATTGGACAATCTATGGATTTCTAATATACAATTTGATTAAAAATAAAGACAAAAAAAGAACTGCTAGTTCATCATATTCAGAAAATTCTTATGAACAAAACATTAGAAAATATATTTGTTTTAGTATTCTACTTTAAAAAAATGACTGATATTCTAAATTTAAAAATATCTAAGCTAGTGGATAACAAAATTCCAACTGAATTACAGAAACACATTTTTCTTTTAAGTGACAAAAATAATTAGTACAGAATCAAAATGGAAAATGCCATATTACTTTCAGTTCTGAGAACATAATACTGAGTTATACTAAAAATTTTATATAATATATACAGCTCAAAGATTTTTCCTTTTATGTGACTTTATAAGATACTACTCCTTTAGTATGCAAGAAACTGATTTATACATAGATTGGGTATGGTTAAACATATAGTATATTTTTATCTAAAAACTTGTTAATAATAATTTAATAACCACATAAAATCATTATTTTGTCCTATTATTCACCAAGTAGAATACTGGTGAGACCAGTTATTTTATTGGTATTAAATTACACATGTATCACCTCGTTCTCTGCTCTCAGATTTGCAAATTCACTTTTCTCTAGGATGACCATGTCTTTCCTGATGGAGTCCAAATGAGCCATTAGCTGTTGTACTGTTATTTCCTAGAAAAGCAAAATTCAAGTAACCTAGTGATCTACAGAATGCCATCCCTTTACATGGAATTGTTTTTATGAAACTTAAAAGAATTTGTGATCATGCTACAAAGTACAATGTTGCTTGGCTAAGTAAAAAAAAAACAAAACAAAACATATGAAACCTATATATCTGCAATATCAAAATGAAAAGGAACAGGAGATTCAAGGAAGAAAAAGTATTTCCCAGTAAAGAGAAATAAATGTCTAAGTCTTTTTATTGAAAGAACCCCAATAAAATGCTTATTTAATCTCTGAGAGTTCCTCAACAAATAATTATTTTTAATACCTACATGGAAAGGGTTTTCTTATGTTTTATTGCTTTGATTTTAAGAGATTTTCTACCATCAGAAAATTCTAGGGTACTGGATAAGACTCAGCAGTCAGGTACCAAAACAAAATAGGTAGAAGTATAGTTTAAATAATTACCCTGTGTCAGCATAACATAATTAGTTTTGTTTAAATTCTCTTCCTATATTTGGCACTGCAAAGAACATGTGAAAGAAAAGGGGGCCCCTATCTGATAGATTTATAAGCTTTTGCTTTGCTAGGGAGGGACATTTTTGTAGAAATGATTTAAGGCAGCCTTACAAAGAAAATGTAACTTTTACCATTAAACTTCTTAAAATCAGGTGGCTTGTTAACTCATCATTTATCCCTCGTTACCAGAAGAAAAAGCAGATGAGGATGTAACCTTGAAAAGGACCCTCTATAACAGGGTTTATAAACAAAACAAAAAAGCCCAAACAAGAACAGGATCACTAATGGAACTCCCATTTTTTGTCACAATTTGTGGCCTTGTTGCATTGTTGGGATTACTGTCCTCCACTGATTGATATGGGTGAGAAAGACTATTTCAAAACTGACTTGACTTTTAGAAAACAGAGGCTATAACAGTTCCAGATGCATGACCAAGAAATGACTCAGTCTTCAAAGGGTCTGGAATGCACACATCTTCTCTAAGTACAACTCTCAGATGGCAGTCACATAGAGTAGAGGTTAAAAATGTGAGTTCTGGGGGCCGGCCGGGTGGCACAGCGGTTAAGTGCGCACTCCGCTTTGGCAGCCTGGGGTTTGCAGGTTCGGATCCTGGGGGCACACTGACGCGCCGCTTGTCAAGCCATGCTGTGGCGGTGTCCCATATCAAGTAGAGGAAGATGGGCACAGATGTTAGCCCAGGGGCAATCTTCCTCAGCAAAAAAGAGGAGGATTGGCAACAGATGTTAGCTCAGGGCTAATCTTCCTCACACACACACACACACACACACACACAAAAGATGTGAGTTCTGGAGTCAGGCTACTTGGGTTTGAATCTAAATGCTGCCATTTACTGTGAGACCTTGGGCAAGTTATTTAACTTCTTTGACCTCCTCATTGGTAAAATGGAAATAATAACTGTACTCACACCTTATAGAGCTGTTTTGAAAATTAAATAAGATAATGCACATAAAATGCTTAAAATAATACTTAGCACATGGTTAGCTCTCAATGAGTGTTAGCTATTATTACCAATGAGAGCCATCTAATGGCTGAAGCGGGACAGTGTGACTCCAATGTTTTGATGTGGAGGAAGTGTTGCCTTAAATATTAATCCTGTCATAATATAAAGAAGTATTTTTTTACTGTGTATAACAGATACTCTGACTCTTGTCTTCCCTAACCCTCATCTATATTACTGGAGAGGGGGTTCATTTTCTTTTATGCAGTTCTGCTTGAAATATTCATGAGAATTAATTCATAAGTCATATAGAAGTGGCCTCTCGTGGTTTGTCAGTCTTGTTCTCCCAAAATATCATTATAAAGGAGTTCTAAGACATTAAATATGTTATCTTTATTTAAATCTTTAATAAAATGTTACTTTATTGCCAAGACTACATAAGGAAGAACTGAAAATGTAATTACAAGATTTCTTGTCGAGTCTGAACCTGAGAATAAGGAATTGTACCGTGACTCTAATAGCCTCTTTTTATCTCCCATTCCTCCTTTAAATACAGTCTGTGACTCAAAAAGCCTACAAAACACAGGTGTCCATCTTCAAAAACTTTAAGTGGAAAAATATAATCCAGTATTAACTAGTCACGTCTATTAAAAGAGTGATCATTGTAACTGTTGTGGGGCCACCAGAGAATATGAATATACAGTAGTCCCCTTCTTATCCTCAGGGGATACATTCCAAGATCCCCAGTGGATGCCTGAGACCACGGATAGTACCTATCTCTATAAATACACTATGTTTTTTCCTATATAGTTAGCCCTCCATATACACGGGTTCTGTATACTCGGACTGAACCAACCACAGATCAAAAGGCCTACAATGGTTGGGTTGCATCTGTACTGAACATGTACAGACTTTTTTTTCTTGTCATTATTCCCTAAACAATACAGTATAACAACTATTTATATAGCAGTTACCTTGTATTAGGTATTATAAGTAATCTGGAGATGATTTAAAGTATACAGGAGAATATGTGTCGATTATATGCAAATACTACGCCATTTTATATAATGGACTTGAGCAACCGCAGATTTTGGTATCCACGGGGGTCCTGGAACCAATCCCCTGCGGATACCTAGGGATGACTGTACATACATACCTATGATAAAGTTTAATTTATAAATTAGGCACAGTAAGAGATTACTAATAATAACTAATAATAACTGATAATAACTAATAACTAATAATAAAATAGAACAATTATAACAATATACTGTAATAAAAGTTACCGTAGATCTTAGCAACCTCAGCATACGATTTTTTTTCTTTGCTTATTAAGTCAAAAACTTGCACCTTTTCACGTAAGGGAAGCACTTCACGGCTTCTCTTTGGCATATCTGAATTGCCAGCATCACTACACTTGTGCTTTGGGGCCATTATTAAGTTAAATAAGGGTTACTTGAACACAAACACTGCAGTACTGTGACACTCAATCTGATAACCGAGACAGCTACTGAGTGACTAACAGGTGGGTAGCGTTGAAGTGGGATAGTGTAAGATGTCATTATATTATTCAGAACTGCCCAATTTAAAACTTATGAATTGCTTATTTCTGGAATTTTCCATGTAATATTTTCAGACTGTGTTTGACCAAAGGTAACAACCCACAGAGAGTGAAACCGTGGATAAGAGGGGACTACTGTAATTCAGATTATAAGTGAATTCAGAATATAACTGAATTCTCAGATTGAGCAGACTTGACTTAATACGGCACTTTCTGAAGTGACCAAGTACAAGGCTTGTTTGCCTGTTGGCCCTGAGCCTCAGCCCCATCTTTCATGACAACTTTGTGCCTTATTCTATCCTAGAGGTGGGGTCAGCAGTGGGATTAGGCTTAAGGATGGAATGGGATTTTAATTTCACACACCAGTAATAAAAAAACCAAAAGGTGAGTAGCAACGGTCCTACATCCAGTCCTACATTTTGAATGCAGGAATAAATGGTCCTGGCAGGATAAAAATTCCCCAAACCACAGTTTTAATTCACTGATTATATTATAGGTAAACTTTAAAAAATCTGATTTAAGAGTAAATTACTTTATTAAAAATGTCAGTAGCTCCATTAGCTTTTTCGGGATAGCTCAGCGGTCTGGGGAAATTAATTAAATAACTGGCTTTCTCTTTAGTGGATTTAGTAGTCTGTTACGATCCTGAATAAATTAAGCTAAAATAATGCACACACAAATTTAAAGGCAAGTTAAATCTAGGGGTTGAATGCTTTTAATTCTAATTAATTGGAGTTTAGTAAAAAATATTTAAAAGCTTTTGATCCTGCATGACCTTTAAAGTAATGAAACTTTATGCAAGAGCTTCTAATTTTATGTAAGAAAGAAATCCTAAGTTCTCTCTGCTGTGAAATATTTATCTGAGGAAGGAAGCCTAAATTTGAAAAATTAAATTTAAAAAATCTAACCATAGGAAGAAGACAAATTCTTAAACATAGTGAATTAATTCATGATTGACAGACTATGAATTATTCCACAATTAAGCTCATTTAGCTTATTCTAGCCTATATATAAAATTATTGCTTTTTATCCGTAGCACCACAATGACAATGCTTGCAAATTACTCAACCTCTCTGATCCTCTCTTCAGTGGCAAAACACAATAATTCTACCTACTTTTTTCAAGGTTGTTAGAGGGATTAAATAAAATTATATGTGAGAAGTCCCCAGCACTGCACCTCTCACATCTTAAGTTCTTAGTAAATGGTATTATTTGACTTTAAGGATTTGTGTATCCAAATTAAAGCATCTTAGCCAGGTGATTTATGAAGTCCTTCCCAGCCATATAAGTCCTTTCTAGCTTTCTAAGTTTGTGAAAACTAACCAGAACAGACACATGACTGCAGTAAAATGTTCTGATTATACAGAAAGGTTAGCTCTTCTACTGTGGTGGATCTTCTATGGGGAAAAAGTTGTTCACTAACAATCTATTACCATCTCATGATTCAAAATAATACAATTATCTCACACAAGGCGATTTGACAAAATTTCATTCTCTGTGTTACCATAATTTTGCTGTGACTATTCTAACTCCTCAATCTCTCTAGATATTGACTTGACCAAAGGTTTTTTTTTGGGGGGGAGGGGTCCCTTTAGAGAGAACAGTAAGGAAGATGTAGGTGTGGTTGGGAGGTGGGTGGGTAGACAGAGACGCAGTTATGAAAAAGACTGTCTAATGAAACTGTCAGAAGTGATAAAAATGAAAATATTACCTGTTGAGCTTGAGTGACCATCTCCTTATAGATACTATCCAGGCTGACATTTGATAAAGTCGTCAATAATGACACAAGAGTTTTTGCTTGTGCTTTGTCAAATCCTGTAGGCAGCAAATAGGTATTTATATTTTTTAAAAAGTGAACATCGTTATCAGAATAGACAGCTAGAATGACTTTCCTCATCATTTAAATTGTTATACTCCTTAAGAAAATGGTCACAATTAAAAATTTGACAGATGATGCTAAATTACTAAAAGCACTCTACAATTTTAATTCCCACTGACCCAGTTCCCCACATCTACATCAATACTGGATATTACTAGTCTTTTTTAGTCTTTTTTTGAGTGTATAATTGGCATAAAAAATGGTATTGCAATTGTTATTTTAATTTATACTTAAGATTTGCATTTCCTTGGTCAAGCATCATTTATTGGTGATTTATATTTATTTTTCTGTGAGCTGTTTGTTTATAGCCTTTGTCCATTTTTCTATAAAATAGCTGAACTTTTTCTTATTAATTCATATTAACACTTTATTTATTAAAGCAACAGCCTGTCATGTGTTGGTAACATTTTTAACTTTATAGATATCCTTTGACTCATAGGTTTGAATATTTCTGTAGTCACATCTGTCAGTCTTTACTTTCATTGCTTTTGAGTTTTATATCTTGCTTCCTTACTCTAAAAGTCTAAAAATATCCTATATTCTAGTACTTTTTGTAGTTTTTATTTTATTTTTTATATTTAGCTTTTAATCAATCTGAAATTTTTTTTCAGTAAGGGGATCTAATATATTTTTTCCAATGGCTAGTCATTTATCATGTCATTTATTAAATAGATTTTCCTTTTCCTAATTTGTAATACCTTCTTTATTGCTTGCTAAATCCATATATATACATGTATTATGATTATATATATATGTTTTGAATGCCATTCTGTTTGGGGTCTGGAAATTTTTTGTGCTTGTTCTTTTTCTTTTTTGCTATTCTTACACATTGTCCTTGTATTTCCACATGGACTTCCGTATCAGCCTAGAAACTCTAGGGTTTTTTTCTTTTTTACATAATTGGAATCATTCTACACATGTAATTTTATGTAATGCTTTTCTCACTTAACATATCTTGACCATTTCTCATGTCAGTAAATATTCTTCAAGCAATACCATTTTTATGACTGTAAAATATTCCACTGTATGGATGGTTCTTTTATTTAAATAGTGACTCTTAATGGTTCATAACAGTTATATTATCTTGATTAGGTAATTTATTATGAGTGCTGTTAATTTTCTTCTTTCAAGAGGTACCCATGTTTCTCACCATGAGTTTCCAAGTCCTGAACCAATGCATGGGTATCAAAAGTTAACTTCCTTTGTTCTAAAGGAGTTATGTCCACTCGCCTCATATCATATCCTTCCTTGGTTGTGGTGGTTAAGAAATCTGGAAAGCGAAGACAATGGTTTTTTTATTTTTCTTGTAGTAACTAATAGAAGTATCACACTTTAGCTTCTAAAGCATTTTCCCCCATCTATTTATAATACACTTCCAACTTTTCTACTTAGGAATTCTGTAATCTCAAGCAAGATTTATTGACTCCTCTGCACCCCTGACTTTATCTGAAAAGTCTCTAACATTTTTTGTACATAGCAAACATTCAATAAGTGTTTCCTTTCCTTCTTTTAGTGTTCAGAAATATTTTATTTGTTGAGTCAGTCTGAAATCATAATATACTATGCACCAAAAGCTTTGGATATCACTACCACGTCTCTCATTACTGGTGAGCAGAAACTGCCCAACTCCCCTCAGTGCTCAGAAGTCCTTCATAGAGCTATGAACATCTTTTACACCTATAGCCCCATCTAAAGCAGCTTTCTGTACTCCACTCTCTTACATATCCACAGTTTATTTCCTACGTAGTTCTCAATTCTAATCTGAAATTATCTTGTTTACTGTTTGTCTCTCTGAACCAAAATATAAGCTCCAAGAGGCCTTGACTGTTTTTCATTATTGTATCTTCAGCACCTAGAACAGTGCCTGGCAAATAGTTGGGTCACAATACTTGATTGTTGAATCAATCAATGAATTTGATTTTAAATCCTGGAGTATTTACTGGTGTCAACACAAAAACCTAGGAAAGGTTTCTCACTTTTGAAATAAATGTCCTGTTTCAGTAAATTCATAATTTTTAACCTAGACACAGTATGGTCCTTTTCCAAATACTGCTGCTAAGTTTTATTAAAAGGCACTCTCTTTTGGGGAGAACTTTGCCCATACACAACTTCATTACTATTACTACATATTAAGTAAAATAACTGCTAATTAGTATAACTACTAAGCGAACACAAGGTACTATACTAGATACTTTATATACTGCCAAGTCAAGGTGGTATTTTCAACATTTGTAGATAAGAAAACCGAGCCTAGGACAGGTAAAGGTTTTGCCTAAGGTCACAAAGTCACTGGCAGATCAGGAGTCAGACTTAGATTCTTCTGACTGCAAAGCTCAGGCTCTTTCTGTCACCCCATGCTGTCTCTCTTATTCATCCTAAACCACTTAAGATATTCAGGTACTTAAAATACATAGCTGCAACCTCAGGTATTACTTTTCTGCTAGTATAGTGTAGGGCAGATGTGATTCCTTCCTATTTATCTTTCCAGCCAACAAACATTTGAGTGCCAGGCACTGTGTGAGGCACAGGGGCTGATGAGCAAAACCAGACATAACTGATGTTTTCATTGACTTTATAGACTAGTAGGCAGACAACAGGTGTTTTAAAAAAAAAATCTAAACATAAACTCTAAATTCATTTATTTATTTTTGTGAGGAAGATCAGCCCTGAGCTAACATCCATGCCAATCCTCCTCTTTTTGCTGAGGAAGACTGGCCCTGGGCTAACATCTGTGCCTATCTTCCTCCACTTTATATGGGACGCCACCACAGCATGGCCTGAGAAGCAGTGCCTCGATGAGCGCCCGGGATCCGAACCCGGGCCGCTAGTAGCGGAGCGCGTGCACTTAACCGCTACGCCACGGGGCCGGCCCTAAACTCTAAATTCAAATGATAAAAGAGTAACGTCCAGTCCTTTAGATTAATTCATTCAAATACCCAAATGTATTCTGTTTAACCAAAGATAAGAGAAAGCAGATGTAAAAGTGGATCAATTTTGAACACACACGTTAGTACAGTGGTCAGCAATCTTTTTGGCTTTGAGTGCCATCTGGAAGGGTTAAGCAGTGTGCCTTTGTGTGTCAATTAGACCTAAGGACGGGGAGAAAAGGACAAATTAGAGGAAAAGGAATGGCAGATTTCAATAATAGTTTCAATAATAATTGCATTAGGAATAATGATTGGTACCCTTAGTTACCTACCTTGATTAGAAGTTCGGTCTTTTATTTGGGGTTTAGAGGAAAAAAATCAGTAATAATATTTATAAACATTTTACTGTTTTCACACCTATTAATTATTATCCTTAAAATTCTCATGTTATGGATGAGGAAAACTAAGGCTCAGACCAGCTCAATAACTAGAGGTCTCATGGTCTCAGAGCTAGGCAGGTGAGTACACAGTTCCTCTGACTTCAATGAACATTTGAATGCCTTCCACAAAGAGAAGCTTCCTACTGAACTTGGGATAGAGAGCAAATACCTTAACACTGCCAGCAAATCTTTGCAGGGTGCAGCTCCAGTCTCATGTGCCCCCACGCTCTCTGTCCCCCCTGGCTCTCAAGGGCTGTTTTATTTTAACTCCAGACATGCCATGTGCCTTCCCATGCACCCCTGCCCAGCCCGTTCAGAAAGCTCTGCTTTTCTTTGCCTACTCATTATTATCCTTTAGAGTTCAGTCCGAAAGTCTCTTCCTCCGGAAAGCCTGCCCAGACTCCTTCAGGTCAGGTCTTTCTTGTTAGGGTCTTTCACAGTATCCTGTTTTTTTGCCATACTGCTCACAATTTACACATTTATGTAACTGATAACTGTTTAACTTCCCCACTAGGCCAGAGCCTGCAGGCCGCCACCACCTGTTTTTCTGAGCAGCTTTGCTGTAATACGGCCATGCTCATTCACGTGTGTGTTACCTGCGGCTGCTTTCATGCTGCCACGGCAGAGTAGCTGCAAGTGACTGTATGGCCTAAGGCTCTGCCAAGTCTGGGAAGCAGTAATGAACTAGGAGTCTGGCACTATTGGTCATAAAACTTAAGACAAATCCCATCACCTTCCTGTGCCTTCTCTTCTTCATCTTTAAAAAGGGAATTGGACTAGATGGCAACAAAGATCTTTCCATGGGTCAGAGGTCAAATTTTTCAAATTCCTTGATTACTGACATTATTAGGCAAGTTTAAACTACTTGTACACAGTAAACATTCAGTAATATATTGAACCAATAATGTGATGAGGGACACAAATCAAGTGTAAGGGGCCACTTAAGTTTCTCCAAGAACACTCAGATTCAAGTGGGGGTAACTCAACAAGTATGTTGAAATATTATCATTTCCTTATGATGATGTATTTTCCAGTATGATATGTACTTTAAAGTTCATTCTTGGGCCGGCCCCGTGGCTTAGCGGTTAAGTGCTTGTGCTCCGCTGCTGGTGGCCCAGGTTCGGATCCCGGGCACTTACTGACGCACCGCTTCTCCGGCCATGCTGAGGCCGTGTCCCACATACAGCAACTAGAAGGATGTGCAGCTATGACATACAACTATCTACTGGGCTTTGGGGGAAAAAATAAATAAATAAATAAAATTAAAAAAAAAAAATAAAGTTCATTCTCTAAAAATGTTTAATATTGTTTTCATTTGAATATGTAAACAAGGTATATCTCTAAAAGTTTACAAAGATAGGATTGAGATTGGGGTGATTTCCCAGGGTTCAAAAAATGCTACCTCCTTTTATGTAAAATCCATCCTAATATGTACGTATGCATGCTAATCACCCAAATACATAACCAAAGACCTTGTGAAGGATCTTGGCAGCTCAACAGCAGTCATAATTATAGATAGGCAGTCAACAAATGCAGTCTTGCTGTGTGAGTAAAACGAAATAATGAGCAAAACAGCACAAAGCACAGTGGGTACCGGGTGGCTCAACTCCCTTGGCACTTAAGATTTAAGGTGACCAGAACATGCTAAGGTTAGTACGAGGTGCCTACTGTGTGGACAACCTTCAAGAGTTTAAAAATTGGAGGAAAAAAAGATTCTGGAAACGTCTCTCAGAATAAAGTCAGATATCCTTCAGGACATACTGCTAACAGGGGGGCCAGCTAGTTCAACACTTATAACTTCTGGCATTCACGTTTTGTCTTTGTTTTTGAATGGCTCCTACGTGATTGCAGAGTACTGAAAATTACAGCGGAAATAAAGCAGACCTGACCTGAAATGTATGCTGTAGTCTACCGAAATCCTGGGCTCGAAGCCAGCACCCACATAACAGTCTAAGTTTGACCATGCCACGAAAGAAATCAAGGCTCCCAAAACAGATTAGCTTAACGCTTGCTCTGACCGGGCTACGAGAGGGCGGGGATTATCAGCCTCATTTGATGCTAAGAAGGAAACAACCGGTCAGCAAGAAGCCTGGCGGAGCTCTAGTGGTGGAGCCAAATGGAAACCCCAGGCTCGCTCTCAGAAGAGGAAGGCGGTCCTCTTTTCAGTCCTCGCCCTTCCCGCCTCAATCTAACGGGGCGACAGCGAGCAGCAGGGTCGCCAGCGCCAGGAGTTGGGTGGGAGGAGGGCGTGGCACTCTCGCCTCCCCCTCGCCGGAGCGGGCGCGAACCACCGCCATCGTCTCCCTAGAGAGCACTCAGGTGCCACGTGCCTTTTCTCACCTCTCCGCAGGGCCGGCGAGAAACGCCCGCGGCGGGTTGAAAGCCGGCGACCCCCGCTGCCTTCAGAACGCAGGAGCCGCCAGACACAGCGACCCCACATGTCCCCAGTTTTCGGGTTGGGGGGAGGAGGCGAAAGGTTCGATGAATCACGCTCAGGCTTTCGGGCAAGGTAGTTCTGGCACCATGAGGATGCTGGGAAATGTAGTTTTCGGCCTGCAGCAGGATCCTGTCCCAGGGCAGGCTCGACCCACCTTCCCGCAAAGCTGGGCCTCTTCACGGACGGACCCACAGTTCACTAGCATCATTCAGAGCGGCTCCGCTTCTCCCACCGTCCCACCCGTGCACGTCATTACCGCCCTTAGAAAGCGGGATCTTGTCTGAGAACCTTCCGGCACCCGTTTCCTGGCAATGACATACACCGAAACAGCAGAAACCCCCTGGATAGCCAGCGGCCATTAAGCGCTTGGGCCGGTGGGAAACGGAGTCACATCTAGCCGCACAGCAACCCGGGACCTGAAGTCTGCGGCCGCTGAGCAGTCTGGGGGCTCGCGAAGAAGCCTTCCGGGAAATGTAGGCCAGCGAGCCCCTCATTCTTGCTGCTTCGTATCCTGCTGCTTTGCCCTCTGGTGTACAGGAGGACGAACTTTAGTTGGTTTAGTCCCTGTTCAGGGAAACTCAATTCTTCCGTTTCTGGGGTGGTGCTGATTTTCACCACTTATTCCTTTCAGACCTCAGTTACTCCAGACTTTGCTCCACGTGGTAAAATGCTGAAAATAAGAACACAGTAGTTGTGGGGTTCAAATGTGCTAATATATTCTATGTAAATTCTAAAGTGGTACACAATTGTTAGGTTTCAGTGGCTTAATTATTCTCACAAGGATGTAAACAGTTACCACTGGATTTTTCTAGGTATTTGTTTTCGAAGCTTTGTCAGCATCAGCTATGCAACAAGCGCCATGCTAAACACTGAGGCACATTAAAAGAACAACGCTTGATTCGCCAGCTAGGGCCTTAGACAGTTTATGGAGAGGAAATATAAATGGCTATTAAAAAATTGAAAAAAAAGGACAGTTTAATCTCACCAGTTTAAAAAAAAAGCAACACATAAAGATTACCATTTTTACCTAGTAAAGATTTTTAAAAAAATTATTAATACTAGCAAATATGCAATTAGATAGGGCCACTCATGCTGCTGGCAGAGTGTAAGTTGGTACAACATATTTGGAAAGCAATTCCATAATATATGAAACTCTAAAGAGTATGTAGCCAGAGTTTCGCTTCTAAGAAACTATCCTAAGAAAAAATAATCACATCTGTAGCTGAGATTTTAAAAAATTATAACCCTTGTGGTGTTATTTATAATAGTGAAAAATTGGAAATAATCTAAATATTCAGTGAGTCAGTAACTTGCAGAAATGTCCCAAATTGGAATATTATGCAATCATTAAATATTTAAAAAGAAAATCTTAGTGACAGGAAAATTCTTAATTTACATATATACATATCAAATATGATTATAATTCTGTTAAATGATATGATCTCTGCTCTGAAGGAGCTCACAGCCTACTGAAAGATACAGACCAGTAAGTGGGACCACAATCTTTTTACTTACCTTAAATTAAATAATGATTATAAAAAAAAAGTGTACCTCTTTATATATTAATACATATTGGTTATTTTTGTATTATTGTAAAACTATCTCCCCAGTACAAATAAAGAGTGTTGATTAGTCACATGACCAAAGCTGGGCCAATCATGGAACGGGAATTGGAGTCAGAGATTCGTAATTATCTTCTGAAGCTGCCTAGAACTACAGCAAGTGAAATTTGGGAGCTGAGACAGCCATGTTCTGCCAAGTGGGCTGGAGAAGTACAGAGAGGCAGAAGCAGAGACAGCAGATGGAGTGAAAGTCCAGATGGTATTCAGCTAATAGATTTAGCCACTCCCTGAGACCTCTCTAATGCTCCTGTGTGTTTCCAAACTCTTCATTGTTGCTATTATTTGTATGCTGAAAGTCTTAATTTATAAAAATATTTTCCCATAAATTTGTTAGTATTTTCTCATTAAGTGTGTTGAGGGAATAAAGGAGATAATACATATAAAATACTTAGCACAGTACATGGCACATATAAAGGCCCAATAAACAGTAGCTATTTTTATTAATAATGTCTGTTGACTTTACTCAGTATTGGGAGATAATTCTCCCTGGATCTCTCATGTTTCTGTGTGCCTCCCACGTCCTCTCTGCCTTTTGTTGTGAACTCTCTTTTTAAGGAAGTTTGTATAATGAACAGCCTTGGGAAATATAGTATCTCCCTCTGGAGCAAAAGGCCTCATGCTTACTGCCTATTATAAAAGATTTGGATTTTTCTAGCTCAGGGTTCCTCTCTGCAATGCAATCCACTGCACACTAAGGCACATACCTGGGCCTATCTGCGTCATCTCCATGGGATTTGGGAGCAAGGGGAACTGACGTGAATATGCTGATGCTCATCCTTGCTTGCTGTGCCATGAGTAATTACGTCCTTTGTCTCTGGCCAAGGAGCCTCATGTCTTCCGCCAGCATCCATGCAACTGTGGCAGGCTAACTTGTTATCTTGCCAATAGAGTAAGATCTCAGACCCTTCACAGTTCTTGGCAATCATTGCCCTTCTCTGGACTTCTAAAAAATTTTTCATTTTTTCAGTTTCACTCACAGAAATATCTGAGTGCCAGCTAGGTTTAAGGCTAGATGTTGTGAGGAGTGTAAAGAACCATATCTCAGTCCAACATTTGCGTTCCTACCGTATGCAAAGATTGTTGCTCTCCAAGAACTTGTAATATAACTGGCAGAAGAGAGCAAGTATACTAATGGCTTCAACACAAGACAGTAATAGATTAGTGTCATGTAAATGTTACGGAAAAGAAATCCTTTGGTTTAGTTGAGGATGATACTTTTTGGTCATAGTTATTAAGAAGAGATCAGATTTGAGCCCTGTTTTTAAGGGTTTAAGTGTTTAAGGTAGAGATTGTAGGGACGAGGTCTAAGAGAGAGGATTGGGGCAAGCAAGGACACTTGAGTAATCTCCATGCTCCTTCCCCTTTTGGAGCCTTCGCACGTGGTGGTCTCTCAACTTGGAGCACTCTCTCTTCCTCTTTACCTGGTTAATTCCTTCTTATCCTTCTGATCTCATTTTAAATGCCACTTCTTTAGGGGGTCCCCCCTCCCTGCATGTAGATTTTGTGTTTTTGTCGTGGGCTCCTATAGCAACCCAACCTTCCCATGTCACTTCTTATTTGTGTCCTCCATGATGGGAGAGAGACAGCTCTCACTGTTTTCTCCAACCACCTAGCAGAATGCCTGGCTCATAATGAGCCTTTGGTAAATATGTGTTGAATCAGTGAATAAATGTTCAAAATAAAGCCGTTGTTTGATGAGGAGACCTGATAAACTGGGGCATAAGAGTCATTTGGAAGATTGGGTGGAATTGGGGGAGATAAAACTGAAAAAAAGAAGAAGAAAAAAGACCAAGGAATTTGGGTTTCATACAGTAGACTCTCAGGAGATTGCAAAAGTTTTTGAGCCCAAGTTGATAAAAGCCAGTCTGAGTGCCTTTCCAGAAAACACTATTTGCCATTCACTAGCACAGGCTAATGAATCAAGACACCTCCCAGTATCTGATGAGGTGGCCTGGCTGTGAGAAATGCTCTCCTTCTGAAAGCCTAGCTTATCCATACCTCAGAGGCCAAGAGGGTAGCAGGGAAGTGGGGCCTGGTTTTTTCATTGCAAAGGACCACTTTTATTATGTTTTTACCATGATAAGCCCCAAATTTAAGCAAGTCTTACACTTTTTTACCAACCACATGTATAAAGCCATTACTTATTTTCCTGTTTTCAATTAATTCAAGACATAGATAACTAGTGAATGGGAGGTAAGCAGTGCCGATCCAACACCAAGCTGATAACTTCTAGCTGAAGGCAAAGATACTTGCCAATTTCTTCGGTGGTTTCCAGTTTCAGCTTCGGTGATGGAACAATTTCCTTACACATTTTGAAATGCCAGGACCCTCTCGAGGACCCCAATACTCTTTCCTGTGATGCCCAGAGGTCTGGGGACCCAGGCTGGGCATAATTGCATGACACGGCCAGAGGCCCTCCAGCTCTGTAAATGTAGCTCTGGTGACTTCAAGGAGAGAGGACGCAGCGTGGACCGCTCTCACTGGTCAGTTCTTTCTCAGAATAGGTGATGTCAAGGAATCCCAATGCATTTTTTAAAGCAGGTCAATGAGGCATTGAGAGAGAGACAGGACCCAACGGGCTCCGTTTCCTTCCTTAGCTTACTTGGAATTCTTGACACTAGAGGGAGTATGTGAACAGAACAGAGGACAATCCTTTGCCTTTGTTTCTACAACTAAATTTTATGGTTTTTGTCCAATCTTTGAATCCGAGGAGCCCATTGTCACAAAAGCTTTGTGTTATTTTATGTTAATCTCACATTTTTCATGGCTTGAAAGTGACCACTAACCCATGTCCCCCACAAATCTGGGGAAAATATTTTCCTGATTGTCCTAGGGGGAGGCAATGACACCCAATTACAAGTTTGCTGATGACAATGAATCAAAGAAAAGAATGATTAAAGGAAAATAAAAGAAAAAGGAAGAAAAGAATTGTTAAAACATTATATACTTTGTAATGTTACATCATATCTGACAGTATTTCGCATTGATTATTCATTTATTCCTTCAACTAATCCTTGTTGAGCACTTTTTACGGTGCCAGCCACTGTGCTCAGCCATGAGGATCCAGACAGAAGACACAGTCCTGCCCCCAGGTTACTATCAGTCTAATTGTAATCAATATATGTGATGAAGGGAAGTATAGGCTGTGGAGAGAATGCATAATTCAGGCTTATACTACCCAAAGCAGGGAGCCCTGGGAAGGCTTGAGTTTGGAAGGATGGGTAGAAAAGTCGTTTAGTTAAATGGATTTGGTGGATGGTGGCATGGGGTATGCTGTATGCAAAAAGCAACAGCACTTGCAAAAGCCAGGAAGTATGTGTGAGAGAGCCTGGTTTGTTTGAGAGGATGGCTGGAGCAAGGGTTCAGGGTATAAGTATTCAGAAGGCGAGGTTGGAAAACGTGGGGCTGGCCCTCAAGTTCTCTTTGACTTCATCCAGGGGTAAAAAGGAATCGCTGAAGGGCGTTGGGCTGGCGAGTGGCATTGAAAAGAAAGGATCTTGCCCTGCTCTTTGCTCAGTCCTCTTGTCTGGACTTTCAGGAATCACGGCCGTGTATTTCACCTAGGTCCCTGTCCTAGATACGGGCCTAAGGAGGTTCAAGACCCCCTATTTCCTGACCAGGGATGATCCCTTGTCT